AAGTATAACTTTAAAGACAGAAGTATAGAAAGTTAAAAAGAAAAAAGATAAAGAGGATGTAGAAAGATAGAAAAGATGTAGGAAGACAATAATTTTAAACCCACAAAATAGGAAACAAGAAAACTAAGAGGAAAAAAAAGCAACTAAGGGTGAATGTACAAACCTTAGGAAAAAGCTATAGCATTTCAAATGTGCCTACAACTTCTGAGCAAGATAAAGGAATAGAAGGTGTCCAAATCCTGCCCCACTGTTTTGGCAGCTGTTTGTGCCTGCAGATGCTTGGCTGCATTTCAGGCACCCCTCTGTGACAGACCCCATTGCCACGTGAACAAAAATGGCTGTTTGGGCAATTAAAAATTCTTCCCTTTAATCAGAGGGTAGGTGCAAAGTGAATGATATCTGGACAGTACTTGGTAATGGCTTTGATGGGGAAAAAGATGCTTTCAATGAGCCTCTGTCTCTGAGTGAGATTTCAGTTTCTATCTTATTCTGTAATATAAAATCACGGTAGTCTTGTTTATGGGGGAGAAACATTTCTGACTTTGGGAGACCCTGAAAGAGCACCTGCTCTATGAAGTTTTGCTCCTGTTGTCAAGTCCTCTATTTCATTTTTATATAGAACAGTTTTGAAGGATAGTAATAGCCTCTGCCATATGTTTTAATTTAATGGCAGGACTTTAGTATTACATTTAATATGATGTTTGCTCTTAGTTTCTGAAAACAAAACACACACTCCTCTTTATCATAGTTAGGAAATGTCTTTTGTCTCTTTTTTACTTAGTGTTTTCACCAGAAATGGTTCTTGTATTATCTCTGCTTCTACATAATCTAATAATGTAGTTTTCCATTTTATTTTATCAATGTGATTAATTAGATTGATGGATTTCCTAATATTGAACTATCCTTAAAGGCATCAAATAAATTCTATATTTAGAGGTTTACTCTTAGATTCTTAATAGTTTTTGTTGCTATTGTGAATAGAATCTTATTTCCCATTTCATTTTCTAGTTGGTTATTGCCGGTATACAGGAAGGCTATTGATTTTTGTACGCTGTTCTTGTATGTGGCCACCTTGCTTATTAGTGCTAATAGTTTGTCAATTGATTTTCTTAGGCTTTTCTAAGTAAGCGATAGTGTCATCTGCAAATAATCACAATTTGCTTCTTCTTATCTAATGTTTATACCTCTTACTGCTTTCCTTCTTGAATGAAAACATCTGGCATCATTTTGAACAGTAGTAGTGATAAAGGTCACTCTTGTTTCTAACTCCAGCTGGAATGCTTCCATGTTTCATCATTAAGTATGACATTTGCCGTAGGTTTTTCCTCATTGTTTTATTCAAACAACATATATCAAATTACAGATTTTTTTTCATAGTTTGCTGGAAGTTTTTCTTCCTTTCATATTATTAATGGGGGTTTAAATTATTAAGATAATTGTATTTTTGCTGGGTGTGGTAGCACATGCCTATAGTCTCTGTGGCTTAGGAGGGTGAGGCAGGAGGATCACAAGTTCAAGGCCAGCTTCAGCAATTTAGCTAGGCCCTAATAAGCAACTTAGCTAGACCCTGTCTCAAACTAAAAAAATAAAATAGGGCTGGGGATGTGACTCACATGTAACTAACCAAAAGAAACAAAACAAAACAAAAAAGATAATCATATTTTCATGTTGATTTCATTAGTAATAATAAATTAAATAGATATATATCTTAATGCTGAATCATCCTAACAATGTTAGGATAAAATCTTCTTTAGATTTGATGAATTATTCTTTTAACACACTGCTGGATTTAATGTTAACTTTTTTTTCCCAGCACTAGGAATTGAATCCAGAGCCTTGAACATGTTAGGTAAGCACTCTATCACTGAGCTACATCCTAACCTTTTGTAAAATTTTATTTTGAGACAGTCTCGCTAAGTTGTCCAGGCTGATCTTAGACTCGGCAATTCTCCTGCCTCAGCTTCCTGAGTAGCTAGGAGTTTGGGTGTGCCCCATCATACCTGTCTTTTGTTGACATTTATTGAGGATTTTTGCTTCATTGTTCATAAATAGGATCATATATTTTTCCCATATTGCTGTTATTGTCTGGCTTTGGTTTCAGGAGACTTGTCAGTTAATACATGTTGGATGCCTTTCCATCTTCTGACTTTCTTAAATAGTTTTTATAAGATGAGAACTCTGTATTCTTCAGAGGCTTCCTATTCTTTATTAGGCTTTGGTATTGACATTGTGCAAAATTTTTCAAAAGTTGAATTGAGGGAATTTTCAACTTCTTACATGCTTTAAAGTTCACTTGAATAAATGAGGAATAATGTATTGCTTGAAGGTCAAATAGAACTAACCTATTTATAATTTTCAGCCTATTACCTTTCAAAATTGTAGCTCATTAATATCACTTCATTTTTTTTTTTTTTTGAGCTGAGATCTTGCTATGTTTGGTCTTGAAAACTTCTGGGCTTGAAGCTAGAGAGAAAAGAGGAAAAGAAATTGGGGAAGATCTCATGAAAATCAAAGGAAGATTTGTAGAAGAAAGGGATCAACAGGTGGGAGGCAGGGAAGTCTTGGGAGTGATGTTCGCCAAATTATATTGTTACATTGTGTCCCTGTATGAATGCATAACAACAAATCCCATCATTGTGTACAACTTTAATGGACCAATAAAAACATGTGGGGGGAATAAAAGAAAACTGGGCTCAAATTATTCTCTTGCCTCAGCCTCCCTAGTGCTGGGATTATAGGCATATGCCACCATGACTGGCTATTAATAATATTTTTTTTTGTTTTTCTATAGTTATTGCTCTAGTTTGGTTCTCCAATTTTTCTTGGAACAGTTTTGACTGCTTTTTGTTTTCTAGAAAACCAAGAACTACCAATTGTAACTGAAATACAAACTGGTATTAGAACAGGCATGAGTTGGATGTTTATGTTTGGGCAGTGGAAATTCAGCTACAATTAAAAGCAGCTCTTGGCCTGTAACTAATAGATTATCACCTGCAATTGATTATCACCTGAATGAAAGATACATTGAGGGCAAAGCTTTGGGGGAACCATGGGAGGCAGAAGTAATTTGCAGACTGGGCAGCAGGGGTTCTTTTAACCATTCCGGACAAAGTGAAGAAAAGAGTGACAAGATCAGTACCCTGAAACTTCAGCTCAAGATGAATCTCAGACATTGACTTTATATATCTATGACAAAAATGATTTATCTTGTGCATTCATGGGGCTGGTTATAGCTGGAAATCAAATTCAAAGTTTGATATTGAGAATTGCTATAGTAAAATATCTGCTGAATTCACATTTCAGGTCTCTTATGTGAATGTTGGAGCGCTGACCAGAAAAGGAAGCATTTTAGATAGCTCAGACCCTACCTCCCTTGGCCCCCTCTTGCCAGAAGAAATGTCTCCTCTTCCCCTGCTGAGGGTGGTGGGTGACTTCTTACAATTGTAGTTAACAGGAGGAAGTACTGGGGGGTGGGGCTGGGAAAGCTTTCTGTTGACATTTTCTGGTAAATCAAGAATGCACCAGGACTGGGGCTGGGGATGTGTGCTCGCCTGGCATGCGCACGGCGCTGGGTTCCATCCTCAGCACCATATACAAATAAAGACGTTGTGTCTGCCAAAAAATCAAAAAATAAATATTAAAAAATTCTCTCTCTCTAAAAAAAAAAAAAAATGCACGAGGATCAAAGCATTTCAGATTCAATGAAGTGAGTAAATCCCATGAAAATACATCTCAGTGATATTTCTGGAGATCCAGTGTTCTAGGCCATATCACCACGTCCCCTTCTAAGCACAAGTTAATTCATTTTACATTCTGAAAGGTATATGAAAGAAGAATAATACAAATATCATTGATTCTAAAGGACATAAGTTATTTATTGAGATGAAATCTACACAATGTAAAATTAACCATTTTAAAGTGAAAAATTCAGTGGCATTTAGTGCATTTATAAGGTTGTCATCATCCCCCCAGTTTTAATATGCCAGTGTATCCCACGATCAATGGCATATCATGGTTTTATTGACAGCATTTAAAAAAATTATTCACAGTGGAATATCAGTAGTGTACTTTACAACTGAAGACATCTTAGATTAGTTGAAATATAGTATTTGGCTGCCTTCTTGGAATTCTGAGGCAACACACCCCATATTTGGGTGTCTTATACCTGCCCATTTACCTGAAAGATAATTTCAGTTACCTGAATGGCTGCAGTTTTGAGAGGAAATCTAAGAAAAAAGTCCTCAAGTGGTCTAGGCTGCTATGTAAGCAGATATGCCAGCTGATTTCCATGACCCACACTCTAATCATGTTTAGGTCACTATTCTGATGGAACATATAGCAAACCCAAGGGAGCTGGGTGTGATGGCACAGAGACTTGGGAGCCTGAGACAGGAGGATCACAAGTTCCAGGCCAGTCTCAGCTATTTAGCGAGGTCTTCAGGAACTTAGGGAGATCCTGTCTCAAAATAAAATAAATAAATAAAAAGGACTGGGGTTGTAGCTCAGTGGTAAAGCGTCCCTGGGTTCAATTCCTAATGTGTGTGGGGGAAGTATAGGAAGACCGCAGAAGTCACTAGAATATGTGAAGAAAGCCATGTCGTCTTTAGCAAATTGCTGAACTCCTTTTGAGAAACAACTTCATCTTGCTCCTGGGCCCTCACATAGACTAAATGTCCAGGGGATTACCACATGATCTTGAAACTTAACCTGTCTGTCATAACCTGAAAACTATTTGATCTGGCACAAAGTCTCTAGTGTCTTATAGCAATTTGTCATCAAGTAGAAAGGGTACAAACGAGACCAGGACCACGATGTTCTCCTTTCCTGCTTATCCCTCAACCAACCCCTATGGGCTTAAGTGACAGAGATGGTTCAAATGAACAAAAAGAGGCAAACTCAAATAACTACTTTGAGTATAAACATACAAGTAAGTTGGGGAAAAATGGAGGAAAAAGGTCTACTGTGCAAACAGTAAGCTTACAAAGTCTGGAGTGGTTATAATATCAGATAAAGTACATGTCAATATAAAGATTATTATCAGAGATAAATATGGATATTTTGTAATGATACAAAGGTCCATTCACCTGGAAAACATAACAATTATAAATGTATATTTTCCTAGTAATAGAGCTTCAAAATATGTCGAGCAAAAATGGATAAAATTTTAAAAAGAGGTAGACAATTCTACAATTATAGTTGGAGATTTTAACACCCTTCTTAGCAATCAATGGAATAGTAGAAAAAAAATAATCAAGACATAAATGATATGAACTACTGTCAATCATATTGACCTAATTGACATTTATAGAACCTCATGCCAAACAATTGCAGGATACGCTTCTTTCCCCCCCAAGTACATGTGCTATGTTCACTAATGGACCATATGCTAGGCCATAAAACAAGTTTCAATAAAGTTAAAAGGATTTAAATCATATGGAATAAATTCTCTGACTACAGTGGAATTAAATTAGATACCAATAATCATAAGATATCTAGAAAACTCAAATATTTGGAAATTAAGCAACATACTTCCAAATAATCATTGGCCAAAGCAATCATAAAGGAAATTAGAATGATAACAAAATTTAAAATTTGCAAGGTGCAGCTAAAGCAGTGAAATTTACAGCTTTAAATATTTATAAAGAATAAAGAATAAACTCCTTAAATTTTATAATGGAATGCTGACTTGCATCTCCAACTTTACGGTTCAATGGATTGGATAATTTTCAGTTCATGCTGGGCAGTTCCCATTAGTGTTTCATAGTCAGGCGATCAGCTTCTTCCAGAGCCCAGTTGTCAGCCAGAAGCTGGTTTTCCAAAGGTGGCAATTGTTTGCAGGTGAGATTAAGGACTTCTTCCAGAACCCTGGGTGTCTGTGCTATGATTCTCCTATTGGGTCAGAAGAAGGCAAATATTAGATCTTTGCAACAAAATACTTTCAGCATCATTGGATGTGTTCTATAACCAGGCCCAACTAGGAGCACAGCTTACATTCTAACCCAGACCTCCCATAGAGCTCCTTTGGAGCCAAGTCCCTTTCAAAACTTACCAGTCACTGGATAAAAAGGCAGAGCATGAACAAAGGTACCGTACAGCCTGCAAGCCCAAAGATACCCACCAACCTTTGCAACTCTTTCTTCATGGTGGGTGGTACAAGGTGTAGCACCCTCTCTCTTACTTTAGTACATATTTATTAAGTTAGTTTGGAAAGCAAAAGCATTCCCTTTAACAAAGAAGTTTATAAGGGAAATCAGACTAGAAGGACTGGCTCATCAAGTGAAAATACAAGATGAAAAAGACAGACAAAGTTACCCATTTGTTTGTGGTGGAGAAACAGCAATTTTCTCGCATACTTATCCTATCTAAAGATCATATGTTGTCAGAAGTCAGCACTGCAAAAGTCAGGAATAAAGTTGTCTTTGTTAGGGAGTCAGTAATCAAATTGGAAACGCTTATAAGTTTTCATTATCTGGGATTTAGGATGAGTCAGTATGGCACTTGGTTTTGGGTTCAAGGGCTGGGGAGTACAGGGATTGAACTCAGAGACACTCTACCACTGAACCACATCCCAGCCCTTTTTGTTTTGTTTTTGTTTTTGTTGTAGATAGACACAATATCTTTATTTAATTAATTTATTTATTTATATGTGTGCTGAGGATCAAACCCAGTGCCTCACATGAGCTACAGTCCCAGCCCGCTTTTTGTTTTTTGAGACAGGGTTTCTCTGAGTTGCTGAGGCTGGCCTTGAATTGTGATCCTCTACCCTCAGCCTCTGAAGGACCTGAGATTACAGGCCTGTACCACCTTACCAGGCAAGAGACTTTTGAATATTTTCAGCTTGGAACAACTATGAATAATACCATTCTGATGTTTTGTTTATGTCTTTGGTGAACATGAGCATTTCTCTTGAGAACTTACCCAGGAGCAGAACTGCTGTGACAGCAGGTTTATGTATATTTAACTTTAGTAAATAATGTCAAATGATGTTCCTATGTGGTCATAATAATTTAATTTCCATCAATAATATAGAGGAGTTATGCTGCACCATATCTTCACCAAAATTTTGTATTGTCAGTTTTTTGTTTTACTTTAGCCATACTTGCGGGGAAAATGCAAACTACCAATATTGAAATGAAGAGGAACTAGGACAATAAATATTAAAGAAATTGAAGTGACAAAGACTCTCTTCATCTAAAAAACCAAAACAAAAAAAGTTTTGGTTTTTTAGATGAAGAGAGTGCACCACTGTGCTTGGCTAAATAGCATAATCTTGACTCTAAAATTAGATAAAGATAGTTATAAGTAAATAAAAGTATAAGTCCATTTCACTTATGAATAGGTTATTTAAAAATTCTAAATAAAATATTAGCTACCTGAAGCCAAGATGCATTGTGATCAGATGGATTTCATTCTGTGAATGTAACATCAGAAAATCTGTCAACTCACTTCATTAATAGACTAAAGGAGATAATTCATATGAATATATCAATTAATAAAAAATTTTGCTAGCTTATCACCTATTTATGACTAGAGGATAAACAATTATTAGAAAACTGAGTTGATTGTGGTAGCATACACCTGTAATCCCAGAAGCTTTGGAGGCCCAGGCAGGAGGATCACAAGTTTGAGGCCAGCTTTGGCAATGTAGTGAGACCCTATCTTGAAATAAAGAAATAAAAAGGGCTGGGTGTGGTGGTACACGCCTATAATCCTAGCAGCTCAGGAGGCTGAGGCAGGAGGATCTGAGTTCAAAGCCAGCCTCAGCAATGGTGAGGAGCTAAGCAACTCAGTGAGACCCTTTCTCGAAATAAAATACAAAATAGGGCTTGGGGATATGGTTCAGTGGCCAAGTGTCCCTGAGTTCAATCGCTGGCATAAATAAATAAATACATACATACATACATACATACATACATACATAAATACATAAATACATAAATAAAATAAAAGGACTGGCGATGTGACTCAGTGGTAAGGTGTCCCTGGGTTCAATTTCCAGTCAAAAAGAAAAGATGCAGGGAAAAAAAAAGCAAAAAGAAAGATAAACTTTAAGTACACTCCCTTTAAAATCAGGAATAAGACAAGGATGCCCACTACCACAGCTGCTGTTTGCCTATTTCTGTGACCCTGGCCAATGCTAAAAGAAGAAGAAATAAGTGTTTAGGCTTACTTCATTATTTGCAGATGACATGATGGAATCCACCGCTGCCTTAGTCGTTTCCCAAATGTTTCCCAGAGAGTCCTGGTCTCCTCACTGCGGCCCAGTCCATGCTCCACAGCCCTGCTGGGTCTGTCTTCCTTCTCTCTTTTCCTTCCTTCTTTCCTTTTATTATAAAAGAAATACACATTCATTATAAGATGTATAGAAAATACCTATAGGCAAAAGGGAGAATATATAAAGTGCCTAAATAGAAACTACCAATGGTATAATTTTGGCTTCTCTTTTCCGATTTTTTTTTCTCTACATAGACACACTTATAAAAGGGAGAGAACATAAACTCTCTGAAGGCAGTAATGAAGTTTGCCTTCTTTACTGCTACATATCCAAGGCCTAGTATAGTGCCTGGCATATGAGAGTATATATGTAAATGGCATACAATAAGTACCAAACAAATATTTGTTGAATGAATTTATGAACAAAAATGAAAACACATTTCTACCAACAGCATATGCTAATGTCTATTTCATCTATATCTTGGACAAGAATGGGTATCGCAGTTATTTAAAAGTTTTACCTATCTGATAGACAACAAAATAGTACCCCTTTGTGGTTTTAAAATCTTAATTTCTTTGATTACTAGTGAGGCTTAACACTTACCCATATGTTCATTAGCTATTGTACTATTTCTACAACTTCCTCTAATGCTCTTGGCGCATTTTAAAAATTGGAACATTTGTCCTTATCTTGTTAGTGTGGAAATGTGCTCTATTACTAACCTGATAAAGTTCAAATCAGATCTCCATTACTCCATGTATGACTGCCTCCTTTTCCCCATAGTGTCTTTCTGAGGAGCTTCTCCAAATAGGGCACACTTTCACTTAAAAAAAAAAAAAACAAAACAGAATTCTTTTTAAACTTTATTTTATTTACTTATTTTTTTATGTGGTGCTGAGGATGGAATCCAGTGCCTCACATGTGCTAGGCAAGGCTCTGCCACTGAGTCACAACCCCAGCCCACACACTTTCCATTTTTCAAATGAAGAAACAAGCTCTGAGAAATAGTTCAGGTTCAGAAGATGAGACCCAATGCATCCTTAAGGAGCTTGTAGTCTTGGTGAAGAGAAGGGAGGATGTCATATGGTCCTTACAGTAAAACTCAACTCCTTGCCATGGCCCACAATGCCTACCTCTGATCTCAGCTCTTCCTGTGCTCCCCCTCTCTCGAAAGACGCACCATACTGGGTGTTAGTCAGGTTTCCATTGATGTGACAAAATCCTGAGATAAACAACTTAAAGGAGGAAAAGTTCATTCTGGATCTCAGTTTCAGCCCCTGGTTGATTTGCCTTATTGATTTTGAGCCTGTGGTAGAACATTGTGGTAGGAATGGGTGATGGAGGAGGCCTTTTATCTCATGACAACCAGAAAGCAGAGAGGAGGAACAGGGAGAGACAGGGGTGCGGAAGGGGACTAGGATCCAAATATTCCCTTCAAGGGCATGTTCCCAATGACCTAATTTCCTTCCAGTAGGTCCCACCTCCTGAAGTTTCTATCACCTTCCAATAAGGCTAGGGACAAAGACTTTACCATATGGGCCTTTGTGGGGACATTTAAGATCCAAACCATAACACCTTATCTATTTCCCTTAAAAAATAGGGCACCTTCTGTTTTAGGAAATTTGCACTTGCTTTTCTTCCTGCCTGAAACATTCCTTCTCCAGATATCGTGGCTATTTCTATTGTTTCAATCCTAGTTCAGATTTTGACTCCCTGGAGAAACATTCCCTGACCACACTATTCCATGCTATTACTCTTTTATTTCCTTCACAGCTCTTATCACGATCAAAAGTTACATAATGGATTTTATTGTTTATATTCTCTTTGCCCACAAAATAAAACCTCCACAGGAAATATTTCTATCTCATTCACCTATTGCATCCCCAAGTCCAAGAACTGTGCCTGGCACACATACTAATTTACATATTAGCATCACTGTCTTACATAATTAATTAAACAAATACTGACACAATTAATTAACTATAAGTAAGGTCAAGTGCTTAAGGCAGAGGCACAAGTCTCATTCCCAGTGCTTTACTTCTGGCTCCAAGGACCATTCCTTTACCCTGAGGGCAATTTTTGCTGCAAGACCTAGGTTCCCCCCAGAAACTGGAATTCAGTAGATCCAGCCAGGAATCAGTCAGGAACAGGACAAGGTTTGTACTTCCAGGCATAGTTCTCCAGAGTTTTGGGCTTAGGCTGCAGTGGTTGTATCCCCTTCTCCTGTTCAGATGATAGGATGCAACATTTATATCTAACTTGTATAGATCCTCTAGTACTTGTGGGGATCTTTGGCAGGTCTTAGCTTATGGTCTCAATGCCTTAACAAGCCCCAATTTATGCCCCACACTAATTGCCCATGTATCCTCCATGTTGGCAGGTGATTTGCAGAGGCTGAAGCTGGGAGCTGCTTCCTCTGTCACTTCTGCTCTTCCTCAGGACCTCCTGTTTCTTTCTCCAGGGATGTCAGCAGATTTCTTCCTTTTGGGGATACTTCTTCCAGTAGCTCCCTACTTGAAGCTGTGTTTTGAGCCTCTTTGTAACTCAAAATAGTGCAGCTAGCTCCAGGAATCTGGGTTCAAGAAAAGCCCCAGAGGCCCCAAACTCAAAGCCACTTCCATCACAGGAGGTGCAAGTAAGGGTCCAGACTCCATCTTGGTAGCCACCCAGGGCTGCTTGGCCTGTCTAGTTTATCTCTTTGATGCCAAATTTAACACAGGTACACGTTAATATTTAATAAACAAAGGCAATTACTATCACTAATTCATTTAATTAAAAATGTCCCAGGCACTGAGCTGATATTTTACATGGATTATTAGTATTTCACTTAGGCGGGTATTACTACAATTTTCATTTTGTAAATTAAGAAACAGGTTAAGCCAGGCGCAGTAGCGCACGCCTGTAATCCCAGTGGCTGGGAGGCTGAGGCAGGAGGATCGCGAGTTCAAAGCCAATTTCAGCAATGGCGAGGGCTAAGCAACTCAGTGAAACCCTGCCTCTAAATAAAATACAAAATAGGGCTGGGGATGTGGCTCAGTAGTCGAGTGCCCTTGAGTTCAATCCCTGGTTACCGTCCCCGCCCGCCCCCCTCAAAAAATAAAAAAAGGGAAGAGGAAAAAAAAAAGGAAACAGGTTAAGATAAATTGACTTCCTAACGTCACAAGGCTGTGAGCTTTTCTTTTTCTTTTTTTTTCCACTCCCCGAGATGCAATGGAGCAACACAGAAGGCAAAAGCCGGAAACCGGGCGGCATACCATCTTGAGTGGGGTCGCGGGAGGACAGGACTGTGATAAACTCCGCGCGGTTAGTAGCTTTCACACTGGGTTGCTAGCCGGCTCCGTTTCCTCCAAGCACAGACCGGAAGTGTTTCTGTCGGCTGTGTTTCTAACGTGCACAACCGGAAGTTTCTGCCCGAGGCTTTGCGGTGTTAGGGGAGCGGCGCAGGGAAACGCAGCTGGCAGACCCAGGTGTGGAGGAGCAGGGTGAGGAACAAGGAGGTGAATGAGGCTGTTACGGACACCCAAGCAACGGGACATACGCAGACCCCCGACCTGACTGGGACCGCTTTCCTTGCCGCCCTCCTCTTCACCCCGCCCCCACTTGGGTCCGGAGTGGACCCGCCCCCTGGCCTGAACGTGGTCTCTCAGGCACTGACCCTTGACCTAGGGGGTGCTCCCCCAATCTCTCAGGCGTGATGGCTACGGGTGCGGATGTACGGGATATTCTAGAACTCGGGGGTCCAGAGGGTGATGCAGCCTCCGGGACCATCAGCAAGAAAGACATTATCAACCCGGACAAGGTAACAGGTGTATCAGAAAGCATGGGGGTAATGAGGAGTGAGGGGGTGACGACGGGAGAGGTGGTGGAGTGGTACACTTCTAGTGAGATGCACGATAGAAAGGTGTGACATTATGGTACAGAGAAAGTATCATCCTCCATAAGATGGATGATGGAGAGGTGGGACACTGTGGGAGTGGAGGGGACCAAGAGATGAGAGGACAAAAGAGAGAAAATTATTGGGGGTGGAGACCAAGATGTTGTGTTATTAGTCTGAGAGATGGGGAGAGGATCTTCAATTTTGACATATCAAGGCTCTATTAGATGAGGGAGGAAAGGGGAATGATCTGCTCAGACTGGGTACACTCCAGAAAGTGGATTTCTGTGCCTTTAAAGTGTGTCATCATAATGTTAGTATGTGTGTAACTGTTCTTGTGATGGTTTGTTCAGGGATTGTGCTGAGCTAAAGAATTTTAGGGAAAGGAGGTCTAGGTTGTGGTTCCTTCCTTGTTTTCTTCCTCAGAAAAAGTCCAAGAAGTCCTCTGAGACACTAACCTTCAAGAGGCCTGAGGGCATGCACCGGGAAGTTTATGCCCTGCTCTACTCTGATAAGAAGCAAGTATTTGGAATCCCCAATTCCCATTCTCTGGCCCCTGACCTAACCACCATATCCCTGACTCCTGGTTTTTTTCTTCCAGTTCTCTCCTTACCTTCCCTCTTCAGTCAGGGCTCCTGCTTGCTGAGCAGGATGTGAGAGGACCTCAGATGTCTTAATCTAGGACATGACTTCCTTGCTCAAGGGTAAATCAGCTCCTAGAGCCCTTCTGATTCTAACCTTACACCTCCCTAAATCCTGCTGCCAGGGATGCACCCCCACTGTTACCCAGTGACACTGGTCAGGGCTACCGCACAGTGAAAGCCAAGTTGGGCTCCAAGAAGGTGCGACCCTGGAAGTGGATGCCATTCACTAACCCAGCCCGAAAGGATGGAGCTATGTTTTTCCACTGGCGACGGGCAGCAGAGGAAGGCAAGGACTACCCTTTCGCCAGGTTCAATAAGGTGAGCTACACCGTTTGGACACAGGCCGATGCTGCCCACCTACTCTGAGCCATATGTATGAGCTCTCTTGTCTCCTAGGGTTGGCTCTAGATGTATGCTTGGTCCAGCCATGGTTACCCACTCAGTCCTCATGTCAAATAAATGCTAAATGGGATTCTATAGGTCTTTTCTGCCCATGAGATCCTATCCTTCCCTGAAACAACTTTGTTTCTTGGTGACTTCTCTTAGCCTTTCAAATCCTTCTGTTTCTCAGAGCTGTAGCCTACATGTTTTTTCACTCTGTGTTTTCTCTCTAGTGTGTCTATAGATGTCACTTACTGACAGATCTTTCAGAATGCCCCATAGGTACATCACATCAAATTGGTACCCCTGAGCAAAACTCATTTCCATTTTCTGCCCCCAAATCCGTTCCCCATCTCACTGAATGGCACTAGTATCCACCCACTTGGGAATCATACTTGACAGCCTTCTCCCTTAGGTCTCAACAGCAGGACAAAGAGATAGCACGAGAAGGCAGTTAACAATCATCTAAGGAAATAAAATAAGTTGGATTCTTTCAGTTAAAAGAATCCAACTTATTTTATATCACATCAATAAAATGAAACCAGGATATAAATGAATATGAAATGAGATGCAGAATGAACATCTAGGTGTAGGGGAGGCCTACGTTTAGATAGGGTGGTCATGGAGGGCCTCTCTGAGAAGGTGACATTTGAACTAGACTGTTGTGATACATCATCGAGTCCTGCTGATTGTTTCCACAGTAAATCATATTTCTGCCAATATTCTCCATCCTCTCTGCCAGCATTCTAATCCAAATTGAATTATCTCTGGTTTGAATAATTAAGATTCAGCCAGAGCAGGACCTTATCCAGACTTACCCAGCCAGTAAGAGGTAGAGCTAGATTAGATTGGAATTCCTGTCCAAGACTTAGCCACTGTACAGTGAGGCCTCACAGGTGTTCTTGCTTGGAACAGCCTTTCCTCTCAGTCCAGTATATCCAACTGTACTTGGACACCTTCCCCTGGATGGCTCACAGATTTCTCAGACTGAGCATGGCCACATGTGAATCCATCACTCCCCACATCCCAAACCAGGTTTTCCTCCATTTCATCATCATCCCTAAGCCAGTGAAGGAGACAGGAGATATAAGGCTGGGGAGGAACAGCCATAAGGCAAGGCCTCTGACAGAGTGGGAGGGAGGTGGGATGAGACAGGTTGAGGTGAAGACAAAATAATGTTCACTTTGTGTTTAGTAAATACTGCACCATGCCAAGTTGAGGTCTAACAATTGAGGGCACAAAAATGCAGTGGCATAAGCCTGTAATCCCAACCGCTCCGGGAGGCTGTGACAGGAGAATCAAGAGTTTAAGGCCAGCCTCAGCCATGGTGAGGCGCTAAACAACTCAGTGAGACCCTGTCTCTAAATAAAATACAAAATAGGGCTGGGGATGTGGCTCAGTGGTCAAGTGCCCCTGAGTTCAATCCCTGGTACCAAACAAACAAACAAAAACCTCATATTGTTAGGATGGTGGGGGTAGGGGTAGAGGCAATCACAATCTGGTGGGATACATGCAATATTGGGAGGGCCTGATGATCATGGAAGTTTTCTGGAGTTGTTAAAGAGTCTGAGTTTTCATGAAGGATGTCACCAGGTGGTATTAGGAAAGGCATGTAATAATTTTTTTGGGCAAAGGGAATAGCATGAGCAAAACTATAAAAGATCAATTAAAAAATTGTTGATGGTCTTTATTTTATTGATTTATTTGTTTATATGCAGTGTTGAGAATTGAACCCAGTGCCTCACACATGCGAGTCAAGCCCTCTACCACTGAGCCACAACCCCAGCCCCATAAAATGATAATTTTAAAGGGTCATGTGTATGGGATACTGTGGGCATTTCCATGCTGATGAATCCTAAAACCCAAGGTGGGGCATGGTGGGAGATGCCAAAAACCCAAGGTGGGGCATGGTGGGAGATGCCACCCAAGCAGTGAATAGCATCCAGGTCAGGTAAGGCCTTGGCATCCAGGCTCAAGAATTTGGCTTTACTCTAGTGTCATTGGGTAAACATGGACAGATTTTAAGCAGAACAGTGTCAAGATCAGATTTGAGTTTTGGGTGACTACAGGGCCAGAGAATGAAGCCAGAGTTAAATGAATTAATGATCTTCTCCAGTAATCCTTCTCACCATGGATCCCATCTCACTCAGTGGCTCCCTGTCCACTCCCTTGCTTAGGCCAGAAACCTGGGTGGCATCTCCCTGGCCCTACACGCTCAAGCCCTGTGGTTTCTATCTCCTGAAGCCTCTTGATCTGCGCCCTTCTCACTGCTTTCCTGAAGCAGCTCAGGCCTTTCTACCTCCCACCTGCATTACAGCTGGTCCCTAGACTCTTGTTTATCCTCTCTGTCCTCATTGCTGTTGGGGTGATCTTTGATAGAAGAACTATGACCTTTTGTTTTCCTTAAAACTAACTCTGCTGGTTCCTATCACCTTCAGGACAATTTTAGACTCTGTAGCAGGGCTTGTAGCTGGCTTCTGCTAATTTGCCAGGCTCTTTTTGCATCTCTCCATTTCAGCATTTGTTTCTCAACATGTTCTCTCTGTCAGGCCCATGCACATTATGCTGTTTTTCTCTGTATTGCCCACTCTACTTAGGATTCTTTTCCCATTTCCCCTTACTAGTTCACTTCTTTTTAACTTTTTTTTTTTTTGTGTGATACTAGTGATTGAGCCCAGCAGCACTCAGCCATTGAGCTACATCTTCATCCTTTTTTTTTTTTTAGATAAATATCCCAGCCATATGTGTGTGTGTGTGTATTAATATATATATATATATATATATATATATATATATATATATATATATATTTATTGATATATATTTATTTATATTTATATTTATTTATGTATTTATTTTTATGTGGTGCTGAGACTTGAACCCAGGGCCTCACATCTGCAAGGCAAGAGCTCTACCACTGAGCTATAGCCCCAGCCCAATCCCCAGCCCTTTTTATTTTTTATTTTAAGACAAGGTTTCACTAAGATGCCAAGGCTATCCTCAAACTGGTGATCCTCCTGCCTTAGCCTCCCAAGTCATTGGGATTATAGGGATGTGCCACTAAGCTCAGCTCTAATTAATATCTTTTTTTTTTTTTCTTACAGTACTGGGGATTATACCCAGGGGAACAACCAGTGAACCACATTCCCAGTACCCCCAACCTTTTTAAAAAATTTCAAGGCAGGGTCTTGCTAAGTTGCCCAAACTGACCTTGCATTTTCAGTCCTCCTGCCTCAGCCTCCTGAATTGCTGGTATCAGGTGTGCACCATTATTCCCGGCACACTTTTACTTAACCTTAAACGAGCCCTAATTTATCTCTTCTCTGTCCAACTCTTGTCCCCATGTTGGACCCAGTGTCCCTTATTAGCACAGTAGGCATTCCTTTGTCGTCAGATTCACCACTACTAAAATAATTTTTTTTTTTCAGCTCAACTCTGAGCTCTGAGAGGTGAAGACCACTTCACCTCATATTCTTATTTAACACTATGTTTCTGACATAGGTGAGACAGGCCCATGATATTTGTTGAATGAATAGATAAATGGTATACCTTACTTCACTGTGAGTGCCTCAAGAACAGGATTGGCTATGCTGTTACTATGTTTTTAGGCTTTTTAAAATTAAATGCACAGAAGGGATACATAACCAAGCCTGGGAAACCAGAGAGACTCCAGAGAAGGTAATGCCTGAAGGAGATTAAAAGGATGAAAATGTTACAGGCAGAAGAAATGTGGAAGTGAAAAGGCATATCAGCCAATAACAAAGGCAGAGGGGAAGGATCTGCTATGTTCCAGAAACTGCTGGTCATTTGGCTGGAACTTAGGGTCTGTGAAGGACAGGTCATTCACTCATGTGTTCATTGACTGATTCAGTAGATATTCACTGGTACCTAATGGTGGAAATTAACTAAATAATCCTTGCTCTTGAGGGGTTTGTAAATTATCTAGAAGAAACTTTCTTTTTTACTATAAGCACCTCAGTTTTGCTGAGGCTAGTTTTGGACTTGTAATCCTCCTGCCTCAGTCTCCCAAGATCTTGGGATTATAGGCATGTTGCCACTGTGCCTAGCCCTTTTTTTATCTTTATTTTTTGGTACCAGGGATTTATCCAGGGGTGCTTAACTACTGAGCCACATCCCCAACCCTTTTTTATTTTTTTGAGGTGGGGAGTACTAGGGATTGAACTCAGGAGCAGTCAACCACTGAGCCACATCCCCAGTCCTATTTTATGTTTTATTTAGAGACAGGGTTCTCACTGAGTTGCTCAGCACTTCACTTTTGTTGAGGCTGACTTTGAACTTGTGATCTCCCTGCCTCAGTCTTCTGAGCTGCTGGGATTATAGGCATGTGCCACTGCATCCAGCCCTTTTTTGTTTTTGAGACAGGGTTTCACTGAGATGCTTAGGACCTTGCTAAGTTTCTGAGGCTGGCTTTGAACTTGTGATCCTCCTGCCTCAGCCTCCCCAGCCACTGGGATTACAGGCATGTGCCACTGTGCTCAGCTGAAGGCACTTTATTTTGAAGGTGGGAGGCTTAGTGGGTAATGTGGTAAGATCCATTGTTCTAGAACCATGCATCTCAAATTATCTGTGGTGAAGGACATACTTCTGTTTTATTTTCAATCCATCAAAGACTGATAAAGATAAAAAAGATAATACAAGTTTCTTCGTATTAAATTAACCAGCACAGTTAGGTTTTCCGTGTTTCTGCTCAGTTGCTATTTTCACCGTAGACTAGAGAGGACTATACTGCCCTTTCAGTAGCACTGTTCACAAAAGTCAATTTTGACTGCAGAGGGAGAGTTGATTGGCAGAGGTTTGAACGGGGATAAAGAGAGATCAATGGAAAGCTATTTTTCTGAGCCAGACAAGTGATGGTGCTGGCCTGTCCCAGGAGCCAGACAAGTGATGGTGCTGGCCTATCCCAGGATGTGGCAGTGGAGATAGAGAGGGATTTTGGAGGCAAAGCCACAGATTTATTAAGAGGTAGAAATTTAAAGATGCCGGCCAGGTTTCTGGCTTGGGCAACTGGATTGGATGAGGGTGACACTGACTTAGGCCTGGATTAGTGATGTCAGTTTGAGAGGGGTGATGAGTTAGTACTGAGATGTTAAGTTGAATCCAGAGGAACAGCATGAAATCTCCAATAGAAAGTGTCCCAGAGGCAATTGGAGACAACTGTGTTGTTAATTAAGCAAAAGAAAAACTTCCCCAGTCCAGTCTAGCATTGAGTCAGTCCTTGGGTCTCTGACTGAGAAACTCAGCTTGTGCTGGTACTATTTGTCTCTAGAGGAGACGTGAGGAGTGGGGTGTGGGATGGTGGACCAAGGGGCAGTTGCAGAGTTGTATATATTGGGACTAGGTTCAGGCCCTGTCTCTAGATGCTTGACTTTGGAGAACTCAGGGGAGTGGCAGATCCCACTATCACCACTTGGTGGCAATAGTGCTTCAGACAAAGTTGCATGGCCATTTCTCAGTCTGATGGGTGTATTTAGCCATCTGCCTGGCTCCAGAGTTGACCTTTGGACTCCACGGAAGTGCTTACAAGTGGTCCCCTCACCTTTACTATGGGGGCAGGAGCAGTATCCTGTTAACACAGGCTCTGAAGCTGAAGACGGTACATCAACAGGCCACAGCCCAGAGGCTGCTATGGTTCTGGTCAAGCAGATAGGTGCTTTCCTCACTCTAGGCTGGCCTCTGCCAGGGGCACAGACAGAGGATTTGCCCTGGTCCCCCTCAGAGACTATCAGTAAACAGGAAGGGCTCTGATGATGGGGCTGGAGCCTGCTGGATACGACCTGATGTGGGTATTTTTCCACTGTCCCTCTGTGTCAGTAGACTGTGCAGGTGCCTGTGTATTCAGAGCAGGAGTACCAGCTCTATCTCCATGATGATGCTTGGACTAAGGCAGAAACTGACCACCTCTTTGACCTAAGCCGCCGTTTTGACCTGCGTTTTGTAGTTATCCACGACCGGTATGACCACCAGCAGTTCAAGGTGAGTTGGTATAAGCATGTGCTTGTGTGCCCACCCCTGGGCCTACCCTTCCTTCATGCTCAATTATCCCCCTGTGTATCTTGGTTTTCAGAAGCGTTCTGTGGAGGACCTGAAGGAGCGGTACTACCACATCTGTGCTAAGCTTGCCAATGTACGGGCTGTGCCAGGCACAGACCTCAAGATACCAGTATTTGATGCTGGGCATGAACGACGGCGGAAGGAACAGCTGGAGCGTCTCTACAACCGGACCCCAGAGCAGGTCAGCTGTGAGCCCCACTGCCTCTCCTCTAAGCCCTACACCCCTTGCTCATTGCCTCCATCCTGTAAACTCTTACCACCCTCACCCCTAGTTTTCCACCTCCAGCCCATTCCTGCTGCTTCCTAGACATCTCCCTGCTCTCCTTCACTTCCATCTAGTCCTTTCCCTCTGAGATAATCCAGCACCCTTCGCCTCCCTGTCCACTCATTCTCCAGATTGCCCTCACACGCTTTTCAGCATCTCTTCTCCCTTTTCTAGGTGGCAGAGGAGGAGTACCTGCTACAGGAGCTGCGCAAGATTGAGGCCCGGAAGAAGGAACGGGAGAAACGCAGCCAGGACCTACAGAAGCTGATCACAGCAGCTGACACCACTGCAGAACAGCGGCGCACTGAACGCAAGGCCCCCAAGAAGAAGCTACCCCAGAAAAAGGAGGCCGAGAAGCCGGTGTGGAGCCTGAACCAGCCCAGCTTGGGGTGGAGGGGTCCTGCGCCAAGTGGCCCCACTCAAGTGGGGAGCTCTGAGAGCACACAGAGCTGGAGGGGTGCTGGGAATGACTCTGGGCTCATTCCCCCCGTGACACCTTGGTCTTCATAACTCCTTCCCCAGGCTGTTCCTGAGACTGCAGGGATCAAGTTTCCAGACTTCAAGTCTGCAGGGGTCACACTGCGAAGCCAGAGGGTATGTGAGTTATCTCCTTTAGTTTGTCTGGGCTCTGGGTTCCTGTTGGCCTGAGTGCTGCAGCCAGTAAGAAGGGTGGCTGTAGATAGAGATGGCCTCATCAGGATCACAGAGGGATGTAGGCAGTCTAAGGTCAGAGCTTTCACTATATTCCACTTCTAGGCTGTTTCCTTCTCTGGCCCATAGCTACCTCCAGGAGGCACCTTCCCCCCAACCCCACTATCTTTGGGTCCTTTCAACCCCTAAACCTCTTGTTGGGCAGAGGGCTTAGCTGCCTGGGTCATTGCAGATGAAGCTGCCCAGCTCTGTGGGTCAGAAGAAGATCAAGGCCCTGGAACAGATGTTGCTGGAGCTTGGTGTGGGTGAGTGTGGTACTGAGCCCCACAGGACCTACCCACTGGAGGCTGTGGATGAAGGCTGGACAGGGGGTGGGCAGTTTGTTACAGGCCTTTAGCTACAGTCTGGCTCTGCTTTGCCTGCAGAGCTGAGCCCCACCCCCACGGAGGAGCTGGTACATATGTTCAATGAGCTGCGCAGTGACCTGGTGTTGCTCTATGAGCTCAAGCAGGCCTGCGCCAACTGCGAGTATGAGCTACAGATGCTGCGGCACCGGCATGAGGCACTGGCCCGGGCAGGCGTGCTGGGGGGCCCCACCACACCAGCAGTGGGGCCAGTCCCAGCCTCTGCTGAGTCAGCAGTGTCTGAACCTGGACTTGGCCCTGACCCCACTAAGGACACCATCATTGATGTGGTGGGTGCACCTCTCACACCCAATTCGGTAAGAGCCTGGATGGGCTGGGGGAATGTGCCCTGACCCTATTCCCTCTAGCGCCTGCAGGGGAACTATTGCCTCTTTGAGGGTCTATGGCGGAGGGCAGGAGTGGGTTGACCGGTGGGCATTATCTTCCCTGAGAGTGAAACACACACCAGGCCTTGGGGACGACTGACCTCAGCACCTCCTGTGTCTCCTCAGAGGAAGCGACGGGAATCGGCCTCCAGCTCATCTTCTGTGAAGAAAGCCAAGAAGCCGTGAGAGGCCACCCGGAGTGTGGGTGGTGCTGTGGTGTAAATAGAGCTGCTAACTTAGACTGGGCTGCCTCTGCCTCCTTTCCTGCATTTCTGATGCCCCTGGCTGGGAGGGTTAGCCAGGCAGGGGCTCAGCACTGCCACTTCCCAAAGGTAGTAGTGTTTGCCTGTGCTCAGGTCTTTGGTGGCTTCCTTGGCCTCTAACCCCCTGACAACTGCCCCACACCCCTGCACCTTAAACACCTGTGGTCTTACACTCAAGATGGCCTCACACACAGCAGTGGCTTCAAATACCAGCAGCTTTGAATACAGCCTCATGCTCGGACAGTCTTCACACCCCAAGGCCTGTTTATCTTCAGTGAGGGTATTATAGGGGCTGCAGTGACTGTGGGCTGTACACACCAGTGGCCTTGGGTAGAGGCAGCCCAGAGAATGCTCCAACTGGTTCCCATCCTGACAGCACTAGCATAGCTGTAGCCTTACAAAGATGGCTGCACACACACCCAAAGCCTTGTTTCCCCGACTTTATTCAGTGGCACGTTCACAGCGGGGATGGGGGTAGACACAAGGTGGGGCCTGATCTGTCCTGGAGCCCTGGGGGCACCACACACCATGCACTATGATGGGAAGGGGGACAGGGAAGCTTGGTGGCCCCAGCAGTAGCCTGTGTGCCAGGGAGGAGGCGGCGGCGAGTGCCTGGGTCCCCCAGCCCAGGCCCACAATGGGAAGGGCTAATACTGGGCTGAGACTGAGGGATGGGGGTGGGGGTGGGCACAAAGTGTCTGCTCCAGAGAGGCCAAGCGGCCAAGTGCTTACCCAGGGCACAAGCCTACAGGGCAGCTGGGGGACACTCTGGGCGCAGGACTGTGCCACTCTCCCTTTTCCCCTCTGGTGAGGGAGAGGATGATTCTGGGCTGGGCCAAGCAGCTACCCTGTCCTGCCCCATCCCGTCCTCGGCCAATCAGAACGGCTTCGACGTCTGCTTGAAGATGAAGCCTCGATATGCGAGTGTCTTCATGATGTTGGCGATGTTCTTGCAGTCATCTGTAGGGAGGAACAGAAAGCATTTAAGTGGGCCCTACATCCTTCCTCTCCATGCCCACAGGTGCATGCACAGGGTGGGAATGAGAAGCAGGGTTAGGTTCAAGAGCCATGGGCTCTAGAGGTCCCTGGCCTTGGTGGCAGCATCTCTGGCTTCAGGTTAGACTGGATGACACTGGGCCAGCAGGAAGCCTGGTCTTGAGGCTTTTCAGCCCCATAATTCATGCTGGAAATTGGCCGGCATGTCCTGTCCCGGCCCCGGCGGTGATGTATGGGCACCGTCGCAGTAAGAAAAAGGCAGAGTAAATGTGTAATTTCTCCCTTGACGGCCCCCGGCCGCTGGGCGATCCTTCTTGTTGCCGCCGCGTGGGGACGGCCCGTCCGCCACACTCCGTCTTCCCGCCACCCGCCTTGATGTCTCCATTTCATTACTGTGTGGCCATTCATCACGCCCATGGCCAGGGTGACTTTGCCGGCACTTGCATATGTGGGAGATGTGGCCCAGGCCATAATCACTGGTGACAAGACACAAGGCTCAGCACTCCTGGGCCAGGGCCCTGGGAGTCACACCTGCTCTGGATACCTGTCTCTGTGTGGTCTTGGATAGGCCAGGGAGAGCCCAGATTTATGGCCTCTTTCAGTCCTGGCCATCTGCTAGACTCATGTATGTCAGCCCATTGCCTTGCCTGTCCTAGTAGGATCAAAGCCGGGTGCTGGTCACTTTCTTGGGCCCTGCCTCTGCCCACACCCCAGATTAAATGTCTGCTTGTGCCAGACCCTATCACAATTTCTCCACTACGGGTCTCTTGTGTAAAACTTGATGCTCTGGACACCCTGGAGGTCATATGCAGGAATGCTGGGCCTTGGGATCATGGACATAGGTCAGGACTTACTCCACGACTGCCAGCAGGAGGGGCAGCTGCCCAGAGCAGTCACCAGCTGCTATGCTGTCACCTGCCTCTCCTCTCACTCCTTTCCCATCTCCCATGCTCCTGGGCCATGACCAGGGCCTCAGCCGCCACCAGCCCTGAGGGGATCAATGCTGTGATTGCAGAAATATTGTACATCGATGTCATCATCAAGTATGGGGGGTTGGTAAGGTCAAGGTAGGGTCAGGAAGCCTCTGCATTTGTCAAGGACTGTCCCTTCCACTGGTCTCCAGACTGTTCCTTGCCAGGACCTCAACCTAGAAAAGGCAACCCTCTGCCTTAGAGCTAGGAAAAGGCTGTGGGTTGGAGAAGAGTGTCTGGTCAGCCCAGGGCCTGTCACTAGCCAGTCACCAGTTCAGCAGATCCTGCTTGGGGCAGGCAAATCACAGTCCTGTCTTGCAGAGGTCAACATGCATGTACCTGTGGTAGATACAGGTGTAGAGATGTGACACCTTGTTCCCCAGGGGCTCAGGCAGCCATGAGGGCTGGTCTAAGGCAGAATGGTGGGAAGACAGATGGGTGGGTAGTGGCGGCCATGGCAACTCCAGACGTGACCCATCCCCGTGGTTTATGGGCCGGACACGCACCCGGCTCAGCTGAGGCCCTGTCATTTGTCTCCCTTAGTGTGTATGCCTGGGCTATTGGGTGTACAGGGTGGAGGAGGGAGGGAGCTGTGACAGGAAGAGCAGGCAGTTGACAGGGGAATAAGACAAGAAGGGGCTTGGGAGGAGGAGGGGTTACGGTGGGGTCTAGGGTCTGTGATGGCACTGTTGGAGGGGTTGATAGGGTGATTTTCTTCCCAAATAAGCCTTGCTGTCGGGCACCTCCAATCCTTCCTGTCTCTTGCACTCTAGGGACTGTGGCTGCTGTGCATATTAAGAATAAGTCCCCTCGTTATCTGCAATTACCCAGCGGCCACACACCTCATTTCTTGCAGCAGAAAAGAAAATTAGTTTTCTATTGACTTCATCTAGCTCCTCCCTCATCACTGGACAAATCGCTCAATCTGCCTCCCTTCACCCAAGTGACTGTCCCGGCCCAGACCCCGAGGCCACCAGTCATCCAATGGGCAAGCACTGATCTCCTACCTGTGTGGGAAAGGGTCGCATGCCTCAGTCTCTGCCCTTGACCTGTCCCATGCTGCACAATGGATGACTTCACCCAAATCCTAAGCTTAGGCTGCCCTGAAGGTGACCCTCACCAGTCTCACCTCCCCCTGAGCTCCACACCATAAATTCCAATGTCTTTTGAACATTTCTTTCTAAATAAAGGCACAAAATGCTCCCATAATGAACATGTTTTCTCCCAAGCTTCTGCTTGCCTTGTGTTCTCCACACCAGAGAAGGGCATCATAATTCATTCAAATACCCAAAGAAACCTGAGGCAGGCTTCACACTCTGCCCTCTCCATGCTCCCCAAATCTAGTCAAGTAAGAACCTCTGAAGATGTGATCCCCTTATTCTCTAATCACTACTTCCCATGAGCAGCAGCCACCCCTGAGTCCAGACCTCATCGCCTTTCACTTGGATTACTACTACAGCCTGTTCTCTCTCCTCCCTGTAATTCATCCCATTGTAGCCAAAGCAAACTTTCTTCCACAAATCTGGCCAGGTCCTTCCTTCTTTAAATCCCTTTGGTGGCTCTCCCTGCCCTCTGTTCAAATGTGACTGTTCTTTAATGTGACTCAAAGCTTCAGCAAAACCTGTATAACCCTGTTATACCTCTGTCACCCTCGACTCCTGATCCCTGTACTCCAATCTCAAGGAACCACTTACTATTTGCTGAAAATGACAAAGTGCACTGTGGAATTAGACAAAGCTGTTCCAGTTTTAATTTCTCCCACCAGTTGCATGACATGTGGCAAGGGCTTCATTCATTTCTCTAAGCTCCAATGGCCTTAGCATCACTGTGAGCAAGGAACAGGTGCTCCATCCTGCATTTTTGTATAAGCCATTGTTTACACTCAGCCTTGTCAAATATCTGCTTGGCAAAGGAGCTGATATAGTGGAAGGGTGGCTCAGACCACTTAGAACACCTAGTGGGAGTTCATATAGAGCTAACAACCTGAGGCTGGCATGCTCTAGTTGGCTGCACTTGCCTGGGAACTGAAGAGCACAAGAAGCAACCTGGGCCAGGAAGACCCTCAGAGGAAAGGGGTCTGAGAAACTCTTGGGGAGCCATCCATTCACATACTGAATTCATTCAGCAAACATGCACTGACATGTGTACCCAGCACAGGTGGGCTGTGTGGTCTGAGGGATGTGCAAGATTCTGCAGCTCTCTGTCCTCATGGAGCTCAGAGACAGCCTTGCAAGTGGTGCAAGAAAAGGAGAAAAGTCATCTAGAAAAACTAGATGACATAGAAAAGTCATCTAGTTCTCCTTGATCCTTAGAAATGGATTCCTGGAAAAACAAAGCTAAGAAGAGGTCTTAGGGGATGTGGGAGGAGCTACCTGGGCAAGTTGGGGTTAATGTGAGAAAGGTATTCTCAGCATAATGCACAGTACAGGCACATTTCTGGAGGTGAAATATCAGGTGTCCAAAAAATTAGGTTTAGAAAGTGGGTGGGTGGGAGTAACATTGTTGTTGTAGCAGCAGCAAGGAAGTGACAAGATATGAAGCTGGTGAAATCAGCAGCAACTGACTAGAGTAGAAACCCTGAGGAACCCAAATGCTCAGCTAAGGAATGCAAAGTTTTAATATTCTGGCAAGACTACAGAGACATTTTAAGGAGGGGAATGATAGGACCAGATCTGTGTTTCAGAATTATTATCTCAGGATGTGAAGATGGGATTGGAGGGGCTAATCCTGAAGGCAGAGAGACCACTTGGCAGACTATACTTGGGCCCAGGCCAGAAAGGTTGACTCAGAATGAGGCCAGTAGCAGTGGAGATGGAGGTGGAGGTATACTTACAGAGTGGAGTGTGGATGGAGGCAAAAAAGTTTTTGGGAAAGAGAAATAAGTAAGCCTTAATGAGGGGATTTGGTGAGCTGGGAGAGGAATGAGTTCAGGATTTTAGTGCTACTCCATGAGATAAGGAATTCCAGATTAGGTGCAATTTTGGGGTAGTGATGAACTTAGCTTTGGATGAATGAAGTAATATTCCTATGCGACATCTGAGTTTATCAGGCATTTCTTTATGACTTTTCAGGCTTAGACTGTTACTTCAGAATGCCTTCTCTCTCCCAGTGTTCTAAGAAAAAAATCCTATATTTTCTTCTAACAGTTTCATCTATATTTTATATTTAACTTTTGAAATCTGTCTAGAATTTATTTTAATGTGTAGTAAGATAGAAGCTCTTATTTTTTTTTCTGATGGATAAGCTGATTGTCCTATCCCCACTGACTAAACTGTCCATACTTTCTGCAGCCTTTTGAAATCACATATACAATTCGCATACATGGGTCTGTTAGAGCAGGAAATAGAATGAACATGAAATAATCAAAGGGGGAGACCAGAGGGCAGCCAGGTGGCTTGTTGCTGACAGTGGGTCTTAAGAGGCAGTGTGGCCTAAAGGAACATGCAGATATAACCTGAAGCTTTCCTGTCTCCAAGTCTTTGCCAGGAAATACACCTTATTAGTGATCTCCAAGAAGTGGTGAGGGATGGGGCCAGAGCCAAACAAGAACAGCAAAGATGGGAGCAAGGTGGGAAAGAACGGGGGTGGGAAACATGCGAGGCATGGTAAGGATGAGATAGCAAGAACCCTGGGTGTGTCAGTGTTCTAGGACCTCATCTGCCTGCCTGTCGGCACATTCTGGAAGCAACAATACTCTCAGAGCAAAATGCTGTGGATCTACCCTGGGCAGATTTGATTTAACGCTGTCCTGATCTCACTTGGGACACACACTAAAAAAATTGTTAAAACTGAAATTCAAATTTAACCAGTATCCTATATTTTTATTCACTAAATCTGCCAACTCTTTGATGGGGACTGGGATACCAAGCTCCAGCTGGCTGGAATTCATGGTTTAGCCTCAAATGTTAGTTTGAAAGGAAGATGGGGGCCAAGGCAATGAATTTAGAACTGTAACAGCAGAGAGCCACCCACCCCACCCCCCCGCCAATTCTGTCCTGATTCGATGAGTTTGAACACAAACTCCACTTATTAGTAACTGTGAACTTGAGCAAGTTTCTAATCTTCAACTTTTCTGTGTTTTGGTTTCTACACTATAATGGGAATAACAGTGACAATTAGAGCAACTATGTCCCCCCAAAATCAAAAGATGAGTTTTTATTTGTAAAGTGCTTAAAAATAGTGTCTTAGTTATTGTCAATGTTTTTACGCTAATAACATCCAATAATATTGTTATTCCAACAACAATATCCTGATATCCCTCATCGCCCTGTCGTTTGTTCCAGACTTGGCCCACACAGATCCCTGGGACCCCATTCACAGCCACCTTCACCCTCTGGATACATTTTTCAGACATAAACTCCCTCTTCCAACAGACACAGTTCCCATAGCTTCCTATCCCTCCCGGGGGCCAGGGTCCTCACAGTCTTGACTCTGAACTGACCCCCTCTTTCCATCCTTCCCCTCAGCGCCCTCCCCCTCCACCCCACCCGAGGTGCCTGGAGGTGCCACAGGGCTGATGGTGAAGGATGACGGTGGTTCCACAATAAGGGGAAAAGGCAATTTCATCTTGATTAGCAGGCGATTTCTCTCTCCGTAATAAGCGCGCTCCAAATAATTAGCGTGTTTTACGTAATAATGAAATTACAGAAATGCAGTCCACTTATTCAAACAACTCACCATTACCATATTTTTAAATATTAGACTTAATTAGAGTTTATCACTTCAGAGAAGTATGCGGACCGAAGATGTTTTTTAAAAAAAATCCTCATAAAGTGTTTATTAAGCGCTGGTAAAGCTGGGATAATGATGTGTTTGGAAATTAAGGCAATCAAACACTTACCGCTGCTCCTGGAGGCCGGGCATGGAAATGAGGCCATTACACGCCCATTACCCGCCAGCTCACAGCCACTTGGGGGGTGGGGGGAGGATGTGCCTGGCCGAGAGGGCATAGTGCCCGGAAATGCCTATGCCAACATCCCCCCCAGAGCTGCCTGACCAGTAAGCACAACAGCAAAACCCTTAAGTCACTTATACCACATTTGTCTACCAGGAACCCAACTCAGACTTGGCCAGGCAAGTGACTGGATTGGTCCCAAGTGCCAAAACATCATACCCAAGATCAATCCCGATCCAGACTCCCAGGGCTGGCAGGATTAGAGTTGATGTCAACTCCAATCAAACCCCAATGCAGAATGGGGACAGAGCCAGGTCAGGCAGCCTGGTAGGTCAGTGTGAGGAGTTGGAGGGTGAATCCTACCTGCTAGCTCAGGTGGAGGAAGCTACAGACACAGACCAGGTGACCACTGCTAAGTTTTTGCCACATAAGAAGGGGTCATAAAAGTGGTGGGAGGAAGCTGAGGAAATGAACTGGGAGCCAAAGAGGCAGAAGAGCCAGGACCTAGGCTTGGGAAAAGGCCTAGGGACAAAACCTGGATCAGGAAAAGCAGGCAGGAAGAGTAGCAGGGAGATGTCTGGTGGCTCTAGGCCCCATTTATCCCGGTGAATAACTAATTTCAGAATTTATAGTGCTGGGTTTTTGTTCTGTGGCCATTTATATCTACGAGGGGAGGAAATGAAGAGGCAGCGCGGACGCCACATCTTTCTGTGTTATTGCTTGTCTGCCATTTGCAAATCATTATTAATTGTGGGCCCTAGTGGCAGGCTGGGTGGGGGCCAGGCTGGGTACATCCACATAGCTCTTCATCAAGGACCCCAGCCGCTGCCCCAGAGAGCCAATTACCCCGCCCTGATTGGGATCAGATAAAGAGGGAATTTTTACAAATTAAGGAATAAATAGAATTTCCACACAGGGCGCGGGCAGGACCTGAGAGGCTATAATGAAAAACCATCCGTCACCATCAATGCGGCCTGGGTACGCAGCCCCAGCACTCCTTCTCTTGTGGGCCCGCCCTAATGCTCAGGGGCCTAGGCTAAGGGTCTAAGGACACCCCAACCCTCCCAAGGCCTGGAAGTGAACAAGGAGTCCCACGGGGGTATGTACACCCTTTGGGCTTTAGAGGCCTAGACACCAGCTCAGGCACTGGCCTGCATGCTGCTCCCCCTCGCCCTGCCTGCTTCCCCTAGGGGGTCTGGGAAGGAAGAGAGAGGCAGCTCTAAGAAGGATCAGAGTTGGGGACCACAGGGCAAAGACCACATCCATGTCCCACAGTCATGGCAGCCCTGGGGCAGAGCCCCAGCCCCCTGGACCACTCA